GGTGTGGCGGATTTACGCAGGTTTACGGCTCGAAATCAAAAATAGAACGGCCTGTTGTAAAGACCGCCACAGCCACCGTGCGCTAGGATACGTGAAATTTAAGACGTAGAAAGCCGCCCGCCGCGCGGTTTTATCAATCGCGACCTGGCGAGCGAAAACGCTCAACTGACGGCTCGCGTTCCGCGGGCATAACCAAACCGAGATCCAGAAACTATCCCCAGATCGTTAACAAGAAAATTAATTCGTGTTTATCGTGGTTCGGCGAATCAAGCCTATGGCTATTTGTTAGGATACCAGAGCAGCTATCGGTAAATACTGGATGCGAATCGATCGCGTTGTCGAAAATGGTAGCCAGACCTAATGGTTATAACCTAGAATTAGACTTTTAAGAGTTTCAGGAAAACTTGATGTTTTTAGTTAGCAACGGATTTTTCTCTTGGACAGTTCCTAATTAACCGAATTGTCTGGGAATAGCGAAACGAAGGAATTAATGCATAATAATCCTCGCTTAGTAAACACATTTGAGATAACATAAAATGTGATTATTATCTCTCTTCAGTTCGTTCGCTTCTTAAGTATAATCGACACGAGAGAGTAGAAAGTACTAAACGAGAAAAAGAGAAAAATTTGAATAATTCTAATAGATGGTGATAACTCTGCAAGCGGAGCTACCACATTTCGAACTGCGCAGATTGTCATTGCAGCGACTACTTTCCTGTACAACTTCCTACTTCGTTTCAAGTCTTCTTTATTATCGAATTCTCGATAAACTTGAATGTCATTGAAAATTGTTGAAAAGTCCGGAGCCATATTGTAAGGAGAAAAACAAGAAGACTCTGGTCGTCCCAATAGTTGGACGGAAGGATCGGAGGGAATCAAATGTTGGAAAGGAAATATCGCCGGGATAGAGGAACAGCGTAGAGAATGGGGGTGGAGAATAGACCGAGTCGAAGCAACACAAAATATTGGCACAGTGTGAAGCCGGTCTGCCGTATTCGTGCTCGGACGTGTTCCGAGGGAAGGCCCCAGAACCTGCCAGCTAACAAAATGGTAGGACCCACCGAGCCGGGTTGAAAGTCGAGCAACAAGTCGTAGGCCGCCTCTGGCTCCTGCAAGATGTACCTGAGTTAAGCCGAGACAGATCCTCGGTTCCAGGAAGGGCGCAGGAAAACCTGGCCGTTGCTGCGCGGACATATAATTTGCGACCGTTTCACTCTTCTAATTGATACTTCATCTAATCATCGACGATAATTCATTGGACGGATCATTTTCAATTCTTCGAGACGTCGATCTAATCAACGCTATTCAAATTTCTCTTTCATTAGAATGTCTGAACGTTTGACGAAACAATGGAGTCTCCACACGAGTGCTCCCCTTAATTCCTTTCAATGGAAGGCATCGAGAAATTGGAAGAATTTGAAATTGTATATTACTTTCTAATTAATGGATGTTTAACGCAGCTTTATGTTGTTTTTTTTCAGTTACTATAAGCGTTAATCGTGGAAAGACCGTGAGGTTTGTTTTACTTTTGATTCATACTAGAAGAGCTGACGATGACGGAGAATTACCTTTGTTTACTTGAAAAGACGCATTCTGGCTAGCTCTTAAATTTCCAGCACGATGCAAACAAAGATTCGTTCGCTGTCTTGAACAAAACTCGCAAAGAAACACTAGGAATATAATAATTAACGAGATATTTCTTGTGGAAAGCGCAGTCGGATCTGGTCTCATTCAGCTATTCACCGATTATCCGTAATGGATTACGAATTTCAGTTATTCCGCGAATTTCGAATGATCCGGCTCAGCTAATATCGTCATGAATCGGCTGCGTGGATGTAATTAATCAGAGATTCGATGGAAAACGCGAGGATCTGATCAGAATCGGTGAGTCTGCACAATTTGCGTTCACTAACCCGCGAATACCATGAATTTGATGATGGAATAATAAATATGGTAATTAAAGAAGCATCTTTAATTTGTCCATAACCGGAACTATTCTTCGAGTAACTTTCATTCAATAATTTTAACCTTTAGACGACCGGCAAAACTCCTCTTAATGTTCTGTACACATCTTTCCTAAAAATCAACTGTTACGACAGAATTCCAGCCCTCTAAAGGTTAACGAAACAGGAATGATCGAAAAATGATAAACTTAAAAGTGAAGAAGAAAATGAAGCAGATGGGAAATAGCTAACAGAAAATTGGTGAACTGATATAGAATACAGAAATGCAACCGAGAAATTTGCTATTGTATGAAAATTTAGTTCAGCCGGACAAGGACTATATCGCGATGATATTCGTGATGCGAAGACGCTTACCCCGCCCGGGTCGCGGAACGATCACTTCAAAATCGGACAAGTATGACGCCACTTCGGCGCTGATACAACGGGACGGCATTTATCGCTTGTCGCCGTGCGTTCTCTCTATTTATCGTGAACTATAGCCGTGCGCCAACAAGCCGGACCACCGCATACACGTATGTGCACGCGCGCGCTCACGCGACATTCTTCGTACAACAAAAAGGAACGTCCTCGGCTTCCTCCCACGCTTTGCTCAGCGCGAGGCTAGCTGCCAGCCAGCAGCCGTTTTCGACATTCGTAAATTTCAGGTGCCACCCGAAACCCGTCCGCCGCCTCGGGCTACTAAGACTTTGCGTGTTAGTTAACCCTTCATGCCCGAGGACACTTATAAATGCCATTTTCATTCAAGTGTTGCCGTGAAAGCGTTTCGATTCTTTGAAATTTAGTTATCATGAAAGTTACATTTGCGCGCATTTGATTCTTTCATGTTTTTTTTTCTAAATTCGGAAGCATTCTTGATAAAGTAAGCGCGTTGCTAAGTGGGAGGAGTCTAAACGAATGTAATATACGAGTCGAAAAATGGAAACTTCATTGGGTGGAAGGAGATTCGAAGATTGTAGCAGGGTTGAGGCGTGTTTTATCTCTAACCAAACATCGGAGAAAGCATTATTGAACGACGAAAAATAGGTGATAAATGAATATTTTGGAAATAGTGCCACTCATGAATTTAAATTGTTCAATGAATGGTTCAGTTTACGAATATTGTAAGAATATACGTATGAAGGAAGAAGTACAACTGTTTAATTATTAACGAAGCGGTAAGTGTACTTTTTATGAAAACGCTTTGCGAGGCTAGTTCTAGATATATTGTTGAGGAAACATATTTATTAACGATTGCCGGGCTGCGTGGCACGTACGCATTCATACGATCCGGAAACTCGTTCCTTCTTGTTAATGGTTTCATTAAGTAAAACAGAAAATATGAATCCAGCACGGCTGAATAAAAACCGATAGTCTAATTATCCAAACGAACGCATTATAAGGTAAGGTACCGTTCATTTCTGAATAAAGGAGAAGTAAGTATACAACTGGTTAGCTAATCGGTGTTATTACAATTTCTTCATATCTTCCAGCGAATTCCGCTCCCATCAACGTTCGACAGGTTCTTCAGGCGTTCTTGTACATACACAGAAAGCAAATTAACTTTCTGTTGTATCCAAAATCTACTTGCGGTGCTAACAATTATATACTGCTATCATTTGTGTTTCGCATGATCCTTTAATTAATCAAACACATGAACATTTATCATCCTACATCATGAAGGTAATTACGATCTACATCTTTCATATCATCCGTATCGTTAAAATAATCGTCAGTGTCTTGTAATCATTTACTATTGATCTATTATTGATTTTATATTACTCAGTGCAGTATTACGCCTTGAATCTACGCGTTCACTATGAATTTCACATAAGAATCCGCAGT